GAGACGTAAAACCGAGGTCCTGACTCTCTGAGGTCATTAACAATCCCAGGGCGTTTCTGGAAAAGAGTAGGGGTGTAACCCCGGCGTCCTGGCCACATTTCCCATGGCCCCTTACCAATCATGGCCTCCTAATAACCCCCCCTCTCTGAACTGGCTTCATCACTCTGCTCTCCTCCCCACTGAGAGCTGGTGTGTGGGGAGCGTTCTGGCGCACTATGGCTGCCGTCGCCTCATCCAGGTGGGGGCTGCACACTGGTGGCGGTAGTGGGATTCCCCCTGACCTGTACAGCGCTTTGAGTGGAGGGTCCAGAAAAGCGCTCTATAAGTGTAAGCAATTATTATTATTATTAAGGGTTAATAAAGTGATGTGGATGATAAGTGGTATTTGTAATACCGCTTTGTTATTGGCGATTCTAATTACAATATATACAACTTTGTTTTAAGGCTTGAGGCGTCTGTTCCACTGCCCCACTGAATAAAGTGTTTGGAATTAAACCGGTTGACCGTATTCCCGTTCGCTAATTCACTATTAATATCACTAAGCGTTGAATATGTTGTGATGCATAAAAAAACACGTTCAAATATAATATTGACTATTTTTTTTGTTTAAATGGAGACTTTGTTAGAGGAAAAACCTGTGCCTAAGCAGGTATTGAACTCAGGTCAGTGGATCAGACAGCTTACAAATGTTTCAAAAGCAATCGAATCCGTTCAAAATAAAACGTTTACAAAGAAAGTGGACTTCGGTGATCCTTACAGTATAGAAATAAATACAGTCTTATTTAGATCCTTAAATTAATATCGTTATGAATTTCCTTAGAAATGCAATTCCGTATTATAGTCCCTATTTAGCAGATTCTAAAAAGTCCACTTTTTTTTTTTTAACTGGGATAACACTCAGAATAGTCAGAATGTCAAAAATAACCACAGCAAGCGACCGGGTGTAAGACTTTGCTGCAGAAAACGGTCAGGGAGAAAGTGGAATACTGTATTTTTTATTTCAAATACCAGAACCAGCCATATGCAGTTTGTATAACATAGTTATATTCCTACATTAATATCGGTTATGATGTTCAGAGACCTTATGCTCATCTTATTTTCATGCTGAGCTACCAAAAGCTCCCT